CCGCCGTCCCGGAGTTCCCCCCGCCGCCTCCCCGCCACCTGCGGGGGGGTGCCCGGGAGCGCAGCGCTCCCGCAGCCGGGGCTCGGCGGCACCTTCAGGCATCCACTTCTCCCCGCTTTGGTGCTCGCTGGCCCAAGAGCCCCTCACCGAGCTCTCAGCTAAAGCCAAAGGCGGGAGGGAACGGGAAAAACTAAACCAGGGGATGTCGGCGACGAGAAAAGTGCAGTTTCTGGCCGGGTCCCGTCCCTTCCCTCCCGCCCGCCCCAGCTCCAACGCTGCCCAGAGCGACGCCAGTATGTGCAGAATGAAGTCCGGTGCTATTTAAAGCTCCCCGTGCTCTCCGAAAAGCGCGTTGACAGCCAGGCTGGGGACATGTGCCCACGTCCCACCCGGGTTTAAGGAGGATTTCTAGAGGCTCAGGCAGAAGTAGCGCTTCTGGCTTTCAAAAATCCTTCCCCGTGGGTGGCTTTTCAGACTCGCATGGGGAGGCAAAGACAACCCTGACCCCCCACAGAGCTGTTTCCAAAATCGCAGGAAACAGGACTGTGTGATACCGATGGACGCACAGTCCTCCGGGTGGTACGGCATCGCCCTGCCCCGGTCCCCAGCAGCGCCGTGGGCTGTCCCCGGCTCACCCAGCTGCTGGCACCACAGCAGTGATGCCAACAGAGGTCCCCCAGGTTGGGTACTGGCACTGCCAGCTCCTGGCACAAAGCTGAGCTGCTGCACCCAGGGCAGTTCTTGCTCCTGCGTGGTGGTACCTGGGATGCCACTGCCACCTGCATGCCCTGGTGGCACCCCAGCCCCCTCCCTGCCCATCTCTTAGCACTGGTCAGTTTGGGAAGAGGCACCTGTGCTTTGAAAACTCTGCTTTTTGCAAAATCCACTCAGGACAATAACCCTGGGACAAGGAGGAGCCCCAGTCCTGCTCTCTTAACATACTTATTTGCAACGAGCTTGGCTCAGTGTCAGCAAGGCTCGCACTCACACAGCCGTGTGCTGTAGCACAGAGCCACGTATCCCCTTACAAAGGGGGAGATGAAAAGGGAAAGAACCTTTCTGTGCTGTCCCCACTCCAGGGTCCCAATGGACCAGCTGGAGGGACCTTGCCTTTGTTTATAGACAGCCCCAGCTGCCCACAGCAGCTCTGGCAGTGCGGTGGGGGGACAGGGATGAGCCTGGCCACCCCCCCTGGATACACTCCATGGTGTCCCCACGCCTGGAGAGCCAGGAGTAGGGTTTCTATTTAGCTCTGGAAAGAGCAAGCTCAGGGTCAGCCGTTTCCATCTGGCACCAGCTCAAGGAGGTCTCAGTGATCAGCACTGCCAGCACGCAAGCACCAGGAAGGGGCATAGTCCAGGAGAGCTGTGGCACCAGGGCAGTGAGCCAAGCATCACCCCTCACAAGCCACCCGGGTCCCTGGCTGGTGCAGAGCTCACCATGTGCTCCCCTGCCCTAAATGCTTTTGCTTATTCTGGCAACTAAGGGGGCTGCTGGCAGAGCACTCAAGGGTCACTGGCCTGGAGTGACGATAAACGATGGAGCATTGCTCCAGCACAGCGCCTGGGGTGACGGGGACGCGGCTGCTCCAGCACACAGCCCTGCCTGGGCTGGGAGGCAGAGCAGGACAGAGCACCCGGGGCTGGGGTATCAGACACCCTCTTTGTCACCGAATTTACAGCCGGTCTCTCCGATTTGTCAGCAGTTGCGGAGCAGTAAAGCTGCGTGGAGAGCTGCCCTGGGCCTGGCTGAGGCACAGAACCATTCCTGGCATTCTCTGGGCTCAGCGGTGCTCATTTGGGGTGGGGGCACACAGAGAGAAAACCCCAGCTGATGGGCCCCCACACCTCCCAGAAAGCAGAGATGAGCCCTGGGCTTTGTTCCAGGGCTGGACCTGGCATGGCTGTGGCTGCACATGATGCCCCTTCTCCCCAGTGGTACCACGGAGGGCAGCACCACAGCACCAAAAATACAGTACAGAGCTTGAGGGGTGGCAGCCCTTTGCTGCGAGCTCAGCCCCTGCCCTGGGATGCTCAGAGCCAGGCACCAACCTGATGTTGGGCACACCAGGGGAGGACGGGGCAGCTTGGGCAGGGGAGGCTGCCAAGAACCAGCACCAAAGTCCAAAAACCCAAGGGCTCAGGGTGGGGGTGATAAGCAAGGGGGCTGCCTGTGCAAGGGGCACGGCTGCACCCCAGGAGTGGGTGGCAGAGGGGAAAAGCTGTGGACGCTGCTGCTGGCTTTGCAGATCTGGTGCTGGAGACATGGGACCTGCAGTGCGAGCGCAACGGCCGGGAGCACCGGACGGCGCAGATGGGCTGCCAGCAGCTGGTGGTGCGACGGGGACAGCCCTTCACCATCACCCTGCACTTCTCGGGCAGAAGCTACGAGGAGGGGGTGGACAAGCTCGCCTTTAACGTGGAGACGGGTGAGTGCCACCATCCCCTGCACAGCCAGAGAGAGCCTGCCCCAGGGAAAGACTCTTTATCAGTGATCAGAAGAAAGATAATGGTTTTAAACTGAAAGTGGGGAGATTTAGGTTAGATATGAGGAAGAAATTCTTTACTGTCAGGGTGGTGAGATGCTGGCCCAGGCTGCTCAGAAAAGATGTGGATGCCTCATCCCTGGAGGGGTTCAAGGCCGGGTTGGATGGGGCTTTGAGCAACCTGGACCCTGCTCATGTCAGGGGGTTGGAACTAGATGATCTTTAAGGCCCTTTTCCAACACAAAGCGTTCTATGATTCATACCAAGACTGAGAGAACAGGTACAAACTGCTCCATAATGAGAACTGAAGGGAAGCGATAAAGAAATAAAACAAAAAGCCACTGCTGCTGCCGCCTCCTCCTCCTCCCCAGGGCCAAGCTGGACTTGGGGCCAGGTCAGAGCCACTGGCTCACAAGGAATGGCCTTGGATGCAGCTGGGGAACCCACCCGAGCCTCTTTCCTTTCTGAGAAACATTAGCAAAAGCGAATCTTTTCAGCCAGAGGGTTTCACAGCACTTTGGCTGATGGTCTTTTTACCCAGCCACCCCTGCCCCTCCCCCCCCGTCACTCAGACATTCCCAGAGCGGGATTTGCTCAGGAAACACAAACCCTGGAGAAAGGAAACGTTCCCGTTGAGCCTCCCCAGAGCACAGCTGCACCCCCCCGGAGCTGGTAGGTGTGAGCCTGATACAGCATCCAGTGGGTCCCCGTGGCTCCACACCAGGGGCTTCTCCCACTGCTGCTGTCACCCTGGCAAGAGCCCACTGGGAGTGACAGGGACATCTCCCCCACGGCCAGAATGAGCCACAGCCGCCGGCAGGGGCTCAGCCCCAGCCAGCTCAGAGCAAAGGGAGAGGAAACTCTTTCTTGGGCAAGAGTTATTTTGAGGCTGCAGCATCCTGCTGAGTCAACCAGGACAGAATTCGAACTGCACCCGGGTTTCCTCACAGTGTAAAACAGTTTTTCTTCCTCCCCTAAAAGCTCTGATCCCACCATGGGGCCGCAGACACAAACCCAGCACCCTCCATTTTCCCCCCTGAACTGGCAGCCCCTCTATTCCCCCTGGTCCCAAGGCAGCTGTGGTGGGGGTCTGACCCCACTGCTCAACCCCCACAGGTTTTTACAAGGTTGTGCTGATTCCTGGGCAATCCCAGGCTGGTTTTGCAAGAGAGGAGAAGCCCCGTAGTGCAGTCTCCTGGGGCGAAGGCAGAGGCTGGCAGTGGCTGCCGTGGGGCTGGAGCACAGCCCCAGCACTTACAGAAAAAGGCTAAAGGTTCTTGAGCTCTCGGTGGCCCTGGCACATCCCTCACTAGGGCAGGACCCACAGCCCCAACGGGGCAGGAGCTGCCAGACCTGCCCCCTCGGGACAGTGGGGCTGTGTGCCACCTCCCACGGAAAGAGAAGAATGGCTTTGCACAAAAATAGCCCATATTTTCAAAGCAGCCGTGTTAGATGAGCCCTGCTCAGACGCTTGAGCCCCCAGGGGGATGCCACGGGCTTTGCAGGCAGGGAGGAAGAGGAGGAGGCAGGCTCCCATGGCTGGCCATCCCCGCGGCAGCGCCAGGCTGACCCTTGCCAAAAGGACAAGGTTAACTCAACCCGGCCTCCCTGAAAGGACAGAAGAGGAGAAATTGTGTCACTCTCATGAGTTCATGAGTATTTTTGGTGACTTGCCTGGCGTCCTGCCCACGCTACGGGGAAAGCTAGCAGGGGACCAGCCCGGGGCTGTGCTTTTGGCAGGGGGGGGAGTGGACTGTAGTGGCACCACCACCCCGACTGCCAGCCAGCCCCACGCGGGCACCGGCGTTGGCATCACCACGGGGCCACGCTGGGCGTCACCGCTCCCTGGAGGAGCAGGGTTTGGAGCTGGCTCGGTGCAGGTGGCTTGGACGCAGCTCGGAGGGGCCGGCAGGGATCACGCTGTCCTCGGCTCGGGCGCTGCAGCCACTGATGTAATGACTAATCCTGTTTGCAGCAACGCCTGAGGCTGGACACACGTAGCGGGGCTCCCACTGAGAGCATCCCGGTGACGGGGGCGATGGGGTCCACTGCTGGGGCCCCCATGCCGTGGGCTGCAGCAGGACCAGGCTGTGGCACGGGCACAGGGACGTGGCACAGGCATAGGGACGTGGTTTGGATGCAGAGACTCTGCTCCGAGCAGAGGCAGCAATAGCTGCAGCTGAAGGGAGGAGACACGACCCTGGGGTGAGCACCCTCTTTATTCTTCTGGCCCTGGGGCACCTCTGGGGCGAGTTCCTTCCTCCTGCCCCTTCCCAAACAGCAAGGGACACGCCTGAGCTTCCCTGTCTGGGCTGCTCTGTGCCTCAAACACCCAACAAACCAAACCATAAACATTCCTGGGTTGCAACAGATGAGGTCTGGGCAGCCACCGCAGGGCAGAGGACATGGGAGCAACACAGGGCGCTTGTGGGGCAGGTCCCCTTGGCACAACCCCCATGGCACAAGGCTCCCAGGGCCCCCAGAGAGCTGAAGTGTTCCTTCTCGGCAGGGCCCTGCCCCATCGAGACATCGGGAACCAGGTCCCACTTTGCCGTGAGTGACTTCCCCGAGGAGTTGAGCTGGAGCGCCGTGATCCAGGAGCAGGAGGAGGGTTCCCTCTCCGTCTCGCTCTGCTCCCCTGCCAACGCCCGCATCGGCCGCTACAGCCTGACACTGGAGACCTCCACCGGCTACCAGGGCTCCAGCTGCCACATCGGGGACTTTGTTCTGCTCTTTAATGCCTGGCACCCAGGTGAGGCTTTCATCTTCCCAAGACGGGGGGTTCCTGGGTAAGGCGAGCACGAGCCGCCCCCCAACTCTGCCAGGGCAGCACATCCCTGCAGGTCTCACACCATTGTGGACCCCAGGTGCCCCAGGCTCTGCCCTGACCTCAGATCTAAGCAGAAATCCCTGCTTTACTTCCACCTCTATGTGGTCCCCACAGCAGATCAGGGCCATCAGCACCGTCCCCCACCCCAGGATACACACAGACCCCTTTGCCAGCACCCCAAACACCCCATCTAGGCTGTCCCCACCACACAACACCCCACAGGAGCTCACCTCTGTGATGCTGTTGTGAAGCCCTGGGCAGCCTCTGGCAACAACTCCTGCCTGGGAGGTGGGCAGAAGAAAAGTCCCTAATTGACCCTAATTAATTGCCCCCACCTGGCCCAGCCCTGCCCACCCACCCCCAGACCCTGCTTTGGGCTCAGGAATGAGCCCTGGGCACTGTCCTGGTGAAATTTGGGCAGCCTGACACAGAAGGGAGGATGGATGCCGTGGGGTTTAACGACACCGGGCAAACAACAGCTGGGATTTTAATCTCTCCACGTCCTTCCTCTGTCCCGAGGAGCAGCCCTGTGCTGCCCTGCTCCCACCTCGATTTCCTGAATCCCAAACGCTCCGTGCTGGCTCTGCCGAGATAAGGGGCTTTAGGAAGCTTTGCTCGTCCAGGACTCTGCCAAGCACTGGCGCTGGGGTTGTATGTTTTGGGTTCTTTTCTCAAAACATTTCCAGTAAATAGTGATTTTTCCAGCAGTAACTGCTGTGCGAGCAAGATGGCTTCAGCTGCTGTCTCAGACAGCGTTCCTGGTTCCCACTGCTTGCTTCTCCCACCAGGGAGGTTTCCCATCCTGGGAAAAGATTTGACTCCATAAAACACATGGGAGGAAATAAAGGAAGAAAAGAGAAAGAATGGAGAAGAAAACCACAAGCCCACTGCAATTTTCCCATCAGCTGAAATCAAACTGAGTTGAAATTCTCCAGCAGCTTTTTTAGATGGGAGCAGTTCCAGCCCCTGTTGCCTCATTTCCCACCAGACTGCCCAGCCTTGTCACTGCCCAGCAAGTCCCTGGGGAGGGTGGGGAGCCCTGAGCAGGGCCGGGGGGGCGTGGGGCAGAACCCCATCCCCATCTCTTGCTCTCCCTGCAGAGGACACGGTTTTCCTCCAAGAGGAGGACGAGCGCCGCGAGTACGTGCTGTCCCAGGAGGGACTCATCTACCAGGGTTCCTGTGACTACATCACCTCCATCCCCTGGAACTTTGGCCAGGTGAGAAAAGCATGGCCCCCTGGGACCCCCAGAACCCCCAGCTGAGCCCACCCCCGTCCAACCAGTGCAGGGTGAAGGGGCTGGTGCCACGTGTGTGTGTCCAAACACACACCCCAAATGCAGCCAGCACCCCGGGGTAGATCCACGCTCAAACATGGGACAGATCAACCAAGATCCCTTTTCCAAGAGGGGAACGTGCTGGCTTTGAAGCATGGCAGGGTGAAGGGAGCCTTCCTGCATGACTCCTGGGGTCTCTGGGGCCTCATGCTCCTAATCAGGGTGGCCACACTGTGCCAGGAGCTGGTGGCCGATAACGTGCTCCCCAGTACCGTGTCGGCTGCGCCGATAAGGCAGCAATGGTGCAGCCCCCGTGGCCACGCTGGGCTCCCAGCACTGGAGGAGCCTGGCCAGGGGAGCCGGGGTGCCCGTGGCCCCCGCAGTATCCGTGCGTCAATTCGGGGAAGGGCTGTGACTCACCGGGTGATGGGAAATAGGTGGTTTTCCCCGGAAGGTCGGGTCCGTGCCTGACCCCTGAGCACCAGCAGCGGCAGGAAGCAGGATCCAGCGCCGGCAGGAGGGTGGGAGCTTGAGCTTGGGCTCCAAAGTCTGAGCCTCCGGTGGCCACAGCACCAGCCCCTCATTGCAGTGACAAAAAAATGGGGAAAGTCCCTCCATGGGTGCTGGCTCATGGAGGGGACCACAGGGATGTGTGACCCTCCCCTCCCTGTGTGGCCACCAGCCCCAGTTGCAGGGGCATCATGGTGAGCCAGGATGGGGGGGGACCAAGGCAGGAGAACCCCTGCGTCCCCTGGGGACCTCCCACATCTTTTCTCCCTGCTTCTCACCAGTTCGAGGAAGGCATCTTGGCCATCTGCCTCAACCTGCTGGACACAAACCCCAAATTCCTGAGGGACCAGAACCGGGATTGCTCCCGCCGCAACGACCCGGCGTACATCGGCAGGGTGGTGAGCGCCATGGTGAGTCCCGTGGGGCTCCGGTGTCCCCCAGCCACCCCATGTCCCCCAGTGTGCAAACACCCACCACCACCACCCTTCTTGATGTCCTCCCAGCTCCAGCTTGCAACTACAGCTGTAGCAGAGGGGTGGCATTTGCCGTTCCCCTCCCAGTTATACCAGTTTTCTTCCCCAGGGTGTTTCACATCCCCTTTACAACCTTCCCACCATTGCTCTTATATCACATATATATACATAAGAGTCTCTCCATCCACCCACTGTCCCACCACTGCATCCTGGTGAGATCTTACAAAGCTCCAGGATGGCTTTCATGTGTGAGCTTTCCTTCCCTCTCCAGCCTCCTCCTGCCCCTCCGTGTCCTGCCGTCCCCTCCATCCTGACCCCTCTTCTTCTCCTCGCCCACCGTAGGTCAATTGTAATGACAAGGACCGGGGGGTGCTGGAAGGACGGTGGGACAATGATTACGAAGATGGGATGAGCCCCATGGCCTGGATTGGGAGCGTGGACATCCTCAAGAAGTGGAAGAAGTTTGGGTGCCAACCAGTCAAATATGGCCAGTGCTGGGTTTTCGCCGCTGTGGCGTGTACCGGTGAGAGCAGACGTGTCTTGTGTCCCCTTCCCTGCAGGACAGGGTCACCCCGTGTCCTCCCCCACCATCTCCCACCCCATCCTCCTGCCCTCCACCCACTCTCTGTGCTCCAGCAGGAGGGAACGGCTGGGACTGATTACAATCAGCCCGCAATGATTGCTTAGCAATTAAGCTCTCTGTTATTCTAATTTGTCAGGAAATAGAGGGGAGAAAAAAAAAATGATAGAAAAAAAGGTTCTGGCTTTTCAGTTAGAAAAGGTTCTGGCTTTTCAGCTGAAGGCACAGGAGAAGGAAAGTGGCTTTAAGGTCAAGTTTGCAAGAAAGTCATGAATCCACTGAGATCAAAATAATTTCACCGCCACCGAGGCAGACAAGGCAAAAGAGAAGGAAAAAACTTCCAGGCTCGCTTCTCTTGAAAAGCACACACACACACACACATTCACACACACACACACTCACAGGCTTCGTGCCGTTTTGCCCCGAGAAGAAGCTCGGCGCCTGCCCTCCACCCACTCTCTGTGCTCCAGCAGGAGGGAACGGCTGGGACTGATTACAATCAGCCCGCAATGATTGCTTAGCAATTAAGCTCTCTGTTATTCTAATTTGTCAGGAAATAGAGGGGAGAAAAAAAAAATGATAGAAAAAAAGGTTCTGGCTTTTCAGTTAGAAAAGGTTCTGGCTTTTCAGCTGAAGGCACAGGAGAAGGAAAGTGGCTTTAAGGTCAAGTTTGCAAGAAAGTCATGAATCCACCGAGATCAAAATAATTCTGCCGCCACCGAGGCAGACAAGGCAAAAGAGAAGGAAAAAACTTCTAGGCTCGCTTCTCTTGGTAAAGCACACACACACACATTCACACACTCACCCACACACACACACTCACAAACTTCACGCCGTTTTGCCCTGAGAAGAAGCTCGGCGCTGGCGGGGTCGCCTGAGCGCGCATGTGCGTTCGTATATCACAGATATACGAGATCCTTTTTAGAGGAGAGAAATAGCAGAAAACTAAAGTGGCTTTTCCGCAGCTCTCAGAAGTTTATAGCCTTCCTTTGAAGCGTTGTAACTACCTCCCCGTTCCCCGGGGAGCTCCGCTCGCAGTAAAAGGCAGCTGTGAGATTAAATAAGAGGTTGCAGCGCGCTGCTGCCCGTGCACTCCTTCAAAAGCAACTCGCAGCCGCTTTTGAGCCTTTTTTCTCCTGCAATATCAAAACCCGACGGGCTGTCAGTGCCGCTTGCCACCCGTCTGGAGTGAGGAGTCCCAACGGGGGCTGCAGGAGCCGGCTCGTCCTGGGGATCAGTCCCCGGGCACCTCGTTGGGTGGGAAAGGGAAGGAGGGGAGGTGTACAAGCCCGGGACCCCCTCTCACCCTGCCCTGCCTCCCCGCAGTCATGCGGTGCCTGGGGATCCCCAGCCGGGTGGTGACCAACTACTACTCAGCCCACGACACCAACGGCAACCTGGTCATCGACCGCTACCTCAATGAGACCGGGGAGGAGGTCCGGCGCTCCAGGGACATGATCTGGTGAGGGCCACGGCAGGTCCCCAGCCTGCCCATCCCTGGGGCAGAGTTTGCTCCTTCCCTGGAACCTGGTGGGCACTGGGAGAGGCTGAAGCCCCTAATGTCCTGGCTTTCCTTGCAGGAACTTCCACTGCTGGGTGGAATCCTGGATGGCCCGTCCAGACCTGGCATCCGGCTACGATGGGTGGCAGGCACTGGACCCAACCCCCCAGGAGAAGAGTGAAGGTATGGGGTGCACCACATGGGTGCTTCATCCCACCCTGCACCCCCAACAGGGCAGGGTCTCCCCCCACCACCACTATTTCTTGCCCCTGTGGTGGCCAAACCTTGGGTGGTGGCCAAACCTTGGGTGGTGACAGCGACTCTGCTCCCTGCAGGGGTTTACTGCTGCGGGCCAGCCCCCGTCAAAGCCATCAGGGAGGGCGACCTGCAGCTGAAGTACGACATCCCCTTCGTCTTCGCGGAGGTGAACGCCGACGTGGTCTACTGGGTGGTGCGGAACGATGGGACGCAGAAGAAAAGCACCCACTCCTCGGTGGTGGGGAAGAACATCAGCACCAAGAGTGTGGGCCGGGACAGCAGAGAGGACATCACCCACACCTACAAGTACCCAGAGGGTATGGGGCAGCAGAGGGGGCAGAGACACCCCAGAGGGGATGGTTATGGGGAAACAGAGTGGGGGGAATGATTAATTAATGCAGCAGCTGCACCAGGAGGACTCCAGGGATCAGAGCAAACCAGCCCTGACCAGGCTCTCCCCATATTCCCCCTGGGAACCAAAATTTGTTCCGTGCACCACAGGGTCTGAAAAGGAGAGAGAAGTGTTTGAGAAGGCAGAGCGCGAGACGAGATCGCTCAGGGAGGAGGAAGAGGGGCTGCACCTCAAGATCAAGCTGTCGGAGGGTGCAAACAATGGCTCCGACTTCGACGTCTTCGCCGTCATCAGCAACAACACGGACACGGAGCGGGTCTGCCGGCTCATGGTGTGCGCCCGCACCGCCAGCTACAACGGCACCGTCGGGCCCCAGTGCGGCATGAAGGACCTGCTGAATGTCACCATCGGGCCCTGGGAAGGTAAGGGAACTGCTGGCAGGTGAGGAGAGGACACTTCAGTGAGGGCTGGGGCCAGGGCAGCAATTTTCCTGTGTTCAGTTGCATCTCTGGGGTCTGCAGTGAGGCAGGAGTGTGTCCCCCCCCAGCAGAGCACCACCGGGGTGTCCAGAACCTGGGGCAGCCCGTGGGAGGGAGATGGGTCCTGGCTTCATGCTGACAGCTTTCCAGAGAGGAAACCCTGGTTGTGGCCACCAGCCGAGCAGCAGGAAGAGCTGGGCAGGTCCCGTCAGGGGGTCAGCCATGGGGAGCCAGGACCAGTGGGGAAGGGCTGCAGGCTCACACGGAGCCCCCCAGCTCAGGACCTGGGGGTCAGCACCTGAAAACAAAGCGTGAGCCAAGGGGCAGGTTTCACCATCAGCCTTCTCCTCCTGGCTTCTCCAGCTTGGCACTGCCCAGCCCTGCCAGTTGTATCACCACCAGTTCGTCAGGTTGGCACACCTGGGGCTGGTGTGGGGCAGCAATCAGAGGTTTCTGTTCAATCCTGTGGAATAACTGTCCCAACCATGGGGACAGCACCCAGTCAGCACCCAGAGCCAGCGCCGGGGCGTTTCTCCATCCAGCAGCCCTGTGTTCCTCATCACCCCCATCCACCAGCGAGTGCCTCGACAGGCAAAGCCCCAGCCTGGGGGAAGCTTGTATGAGCTGCAGCAGCAGCAAGTGATGCCTCCCTCCTTCAGGGCTGCGTCCTTATTTATCCACCACTGTGGATCTTTAATCTTTGATGAAAAGATAAGGAGCGTTGCTCAGGCAGGGGGCTGGAAATGCATTGAGAGAGGAGGAAAAGTTACTGCCTTTGCATCCATCGTGCCGAGGGAACAAGCCCTGCACGTTGCAGGGCTCTCACCCCAGGGTGTTCTGCTGCATCCCTCTGCATCCCTCTGCATCCCTCGTGCTCTCCCGGAGCTGGGGTAGGCTGGTCACTGCAGCAGGATTTTCCCACAGGCAGGGAGAGCAGGACTGACCCCGGGTCAGCTCCAACAGCACGGTCCCAGGCTGGTCACAGCAGCTCTGGAGCTCTCAGCATCTTTTCCTTGGGTGGGCGTGACATCTCGCAGCGTTTCACCGCAGAGCTGTCCTGGGGCGGCCCCCTGAACCTTCGTTAGCCTTGGTTACAAATTAGTATTACTGCTTTGTAATTAAACAAGAGTTTTGATTTATGTCAGCTTTCCACAGACCCTTCAGGGCTTGGAAATGCAATACATCTGCTGTCCTGGAACAGCTTAATTTTTAATCTCAGCCAAGATCTGCTCTTCTAATAGAGCCCATAACAAATGCAGCGCTCGCTCTCTGCTATTTGTTGAGCTGAATTAAGGGAATAATGAATGTGCTCGCTCTTGCCACCACAAAGGGAATTGGGATGCTGCCTTTGCCCACACGGGCACCCCCTCCCTGTGGTGTCCACACCAGTGTGTACCAGTATCTGCGAGTGCCCATAGAGCTGCTCTGGAGCCTTCTGTTGTGGGGCTGGATGGGGAGAGTGTGAGCTGAGCCCTGCTGGCCTTTAGGGTCTCCATCATTCCCATCCACAAATTAATCCAACATCTTTTTCTCTGAGACTACAATTACGAGCTCCTGAGACCTCTCCCCCCAGCTCCTGCCTGGGAATGTAGACCCCAGGCCTCCCCAGATTGCAATCTTTAGGGTCCCACCACCACCCTGAGCTGGGCACTCGCAGCCCCGTGTCCCTGCATGGGTAGGGGCAGCACCCCGAGGATCCAGCCAGGCACAGGGTGACCAGCTGCAGGTGTCCACAGCTCATTTGGGAAATGCTGGTGATCTGGGGGGTTGATGACAGCTAAATAGAACCCATATTTTCAGGAAAGGGGTTAAGCAAGGCACCCCCAGCACAGGCTCATCTATGGGTGCTCCAGTCAGCAGCTGGTGGTGCCTGCCCACCCTGCTGTACCTCTTCCCAACAGGGGTGTCCCAGCTCCCCCCAAGACGCTCCCATCCTGGAGAAGCTCCTGGGGAGCCAGCACAGGGTCACAGGCGCTGGGTTGGGGAATGGGTGAGCTCTGACCCTGCTCTGCTTCCCCTTCCAGAAAACAGGGTGCCCCTGCGGATCCTGTATGAGAAGTACAAGGAGAGCCTGACCCAGGACAACATCATCAAGGTGGTGGCTCTCCTGACCGAGCACCAGACCGGCGACGTCATCGTGGCCGTCAGGGATGTCTACATCCAGAACCCGGAGATAAAGATCAGGGTAAGGGCTCAGCTGCTCTGTCCCGAGTGGGTCTGGGGACATTTCCCATTCACAGGGGGTTACTACAATCACCCCGGGGGGGCTTGGTCCCAGTGATCTGAACCCTTGGGTCTGGGGCAACCCTACCACGGCAGGGCTTGGTCCTGCATCCCCGAGGACCTGCCTCAGCCCCATCAGGCTTGGGGCAGGGGGAGGAGCACCGTGACCCCCGGGCAGGGTGATACTTGGTCTCCAACCCCACCTGTTTGCAGATTTTAGGGGAGCCAATGCAGAATCGGAAGCTGGTGGCAGAGGTCAGCCTGGTGAACCCCCTCACACTCCCCCTCAACAAATGCATGTTCGTGGTGGAGGGCAGTGGTCTCACCGACGGGCAGAAGATCAAGGAGCTGTAAGTTCTTTTTTTCCTTTCTTCACCTGGTTGGGCTGTTGGGAATGGGGGCAGGGGTAGAATTTTGTGCCCCCAGGGAGGGTGGTCCCATGGCCTGGCCCTGCTGAGGTGGGACTGCAGTGGTCCCTGTGGGGAACGGGGGGTTTGGAGCATCTCTGCCCCACACCTCGCTGAGGAGCAGGGCTTGGCCATGCCAAGGGGGGTGTCTCTGCTTCTCGTGGTCCCAGCACCGTCCTGTGGCACCACGGGCACAGGGAGGGTGAGAGATCACTGGGAGGGATAGTGGCTGCCCTGCTGTGACCCCCCTGTCCTCCCGCAGTGAGGAGCCCGTGGAACCGCAGGCGGTGGCCAAGGTCAGGTTGGATCTCGTGCCGAGCCAGTCGGGGCTGCACAAGCTGATGGTGAACTTCGAGAGCGACAAGCTGTCGGGGGTGAAGGGCTACCGCAACGTCATCATCGCCCCCCAGCCCAAGTGAGCGGCCACCACCGCCAGTGACAGGAGCAGGGATGGGAAAGAGGGGCCGGTGGCGTTTTGGGGGGGGGCAGCCACTCGCTTCACCACCTTTCCCTCACCCCGTGGGGTGGGCAATGTCCCCAACATCCCTGTCCCCCAGCCTGGGCGCAGCAGGGACCCCCCGAGCCCAGCACAGCCGGGCAGTGGGCAGCCCCCTCCTCTTTGTGCAGCGCTGACAGCCCCGGCCCCGCAGAGCAGATCTCAAAAACCAAAGAGCAGAACAACCTCCTCCAGCACTGATTGCACCTCAGCCGTGCTCACGCGCGCCGGTAACAGTTCTCTGACCACCATTGAGTAGAGCAAAGATTGTATACTGTGAGCACAAAGCTGTTTATACGCTAACATATATGACAAATCTATTTATAGCTATATAAATACATACTGCATATAACCCTACTGCATAGGTAAAGCTTTAATAACCATTCCCATCGCTGCCACCACCGTGCAGGGAGGGATGGGACATTACCTTGACATGAATTAACTATGCAAGCACTGAATAAAAAACTCTATTTTTCACTTTTAAAGCCAGACTCAGCTCTTCTTGAGCATCCTCTCCAAATGGAGACACCCAGCAACTCTGCACCCAGTGCCTGAGGGGTGGGTTGATCCACAGCCCCGCACTCTCAGGGTGTTCTGCAGCTCAGGGGTTGTACCCCAAAAGAGCTGTGACCCCCACAGCATGACCTGGCAGCACCCACAGCACGGGGTAAACCTGCATTGGGCTCCGTGGCAGCACAGCCCCAGAGGCTGGTGCAGATGCCATGCATTCCTGGGGCATTTCTCCTATAGCAGGAATGGGACGGTGCTGTGACCGGGCACTAAGGACAGGAGGGAAAGCCAGTACAGGAAATTAAAATTTCCTGTACAGCCCAGATTCTGCACTCCTGGACTCTTGATGAGGTCACTTGTGGGCAGCTGCTGGCACAGCCAGAGAAAGCAGAGGCTGGCAACCGAGGCTCAAGAAACCCAACCTGGGAGGGAGGGAGGGAGGGAAAAGGGGTGGCTGAGCACAGGGATGCGGGAGGAGGGTGAGGATTTGTCTTAAGCCTGGAAGAGAGGTCAAGGCACTGCTGAAGATAAACACTTCCCATGCCAGGACACAACCCTCCATGCTTTCCTCCCCACAAACATCCCGAGAGGCTCCCTGCCCATGTTAAACAAACACCAGAAAGACCATTACAGAACTGGTGGTCTCCAGCTGCAGCAGCTCTACCCAGCAGCCCCAGGTAGAGGAGGGACGAGCCCAGCCCAGCCACCCACCACCCAAACTGTGGGACAAGCTGTAGCAAAAGGTGACCCTGCTTGGTGAGCTCACACCCAGCTGGTCCCCGTCACCACCGGTGGCTGTTGGGAGTCTCCCAATCCCAGCCACCATCCAGGGTGGATGAGGAGCTGGGAGCATTTCCTACTCAGCACAACCCGTCCTCCAGCTTCCCTTTCTGTTTACCTTTAAGATGAGATAAAAATCTCCAGGTGTAGCGTTCCAGACACAGCTGCTCGCCTCTCCTGAGCCTGGCAGGGGATCCCCAGCCAGAATTCCCAGCTCCCTGGCTCTGCTTACCCTAAGGGAGAGCTGGCAGGAGCTGCTCCCGCTCCATCCTGGCCAGGGGCAGGCAGCAGCCTCAGGTGCTGGGCACTGCTGGGCTCAGGCTTCGTGCGTGGCAGCGGGTTATTTGGCTGCCAAAAATCCTTCATAACAACCCTCCAGGATGGCCATGAGATCCTTCTCCCATTACTTTGCGGAGGTTTAACCACCACATCACTCCATCCTGCTTTTCTAGAATGCAACCAGAAGACGCAGCTGGGACCACCATGGGGCTGTGGAGGGGCTGCTGGTGATGCCTCTCACTGTGGTGGGTGGGGAGGAAGGGTCTGGCCCCTGGGAGGGCTGAGGAGCTGCCAGGAGCAGCTCTCCCAAGGGAAAGAAACCGAGAGTGCCCACTCCCCAGCATGGGAACAGGACAGGAGCTCTGGGAAGGATGGGGATTCTCCTCCCACAGCGGTGGGGACCTCACCAGCCCCCAGCTCTGGCAGCATCAACCCCTAAGACACGAGACCCAAGAGCACAAAAAAACAGCCACAAAGAAGCAGCGGTGCACGAAGGAGTTAACAGCCTGAACCCAGCGCTGCTGTCCCTTGTCAGGAGCATTGCTCAGAGCCAGCCATGATGCACGGCCTTACTTTAAAGAGCATTTGTTACACACAGCTCTGCTGAGCCAGGCTTCAAGCTGCTCAATGCCTGGTTTAAAAATAACCGGCAGCCCCTCTGGTTCGAAGCTGGGTCCTGATAAAATAAACATTAGCACAGCTATTTCTGAAGGTCACTCCCATCCATCTGAGGCTCGGCAGAGCAAGGCTGCTCCACGAGAAACGAGCTCTTCAGAGACTCCAAATGCATTTACGGGTTGGCTCTGGGGTTTGACTCTCTCTGGGGCTGGTTTCTCCCCCGTTATCCAGCAACCACCCCCGCCTTTTCCAGGCTGTTTGCAGAGCCTAACGAACCACTTAAGGCACCTCCACCAAGCTCACAGGTGTTTGTTACCCCCTCACCTTCTTAGTCATCCTTTAAGGACCGTGAGAACAGCGTGACCTGTCCTGCAGAACAGGCACCATCGGCTGCCAGAGCTCGGGGACAGCTTCCCTGCTCACCCCCCCGCCCGTCGTACTGTGCTACACCTGTGAGACTCTTTTGGCACGCTTGCCATGCAAGCAATAAATTATAAATTAAATATTTACAGCATCCACTGCATGGGAGAATTCGGAATTCGGCATCAGCCCGAGTGCCAAAGCAACGCGAGACTATTGACACGTGGAGGAGAGGTTATTAATACATCTCAGCTCGCCAGAGATGCTGACTTGCCAAGAAGTGACTGTAAACTCATTTAAGACTTGAGGACCTTTAACTTCCCTTCATTGATGGATTGAGCCTAGAAAAAACTACCATAAATCAGAGTGTGCACAAGAACAATTCTGTGGGATTTGCAAATCCCACCACCTCTCCAAAGCTCTCCCCTTCTTCTCCACCAACAGGGATGTGTTTTTACACCACCAACCAACGGGACACCTGAGGCACTGACAAGCAGCGAGAAGAGGAAAAAAAACCACATAATAAACCCCAGATGGCCAGAACTCCCAGGGGAAGCCATCCCCCTTTTCCAAGACCACGGGAGGTGCAGGAAACACCATGGAGAGAAGATTCTTTCAGCACAGCCATCCACAGTTACCACTCAAACAGCCTTTCTGTGCCTGCCCAAAGCCATGACACAGCCCTCAGGAGGGAACAGCCCCCCAGCCCCACGGTTTTGAGGTCCCCATCCTGCCTGGGCTGGACTCAGACAGTCAAACCAGTAAGACTGACTAGTGAGAGCCAGGCGGGCGCTTCCAGTCACGTGTCTCTTCCCAGAAAGTAAAGACAAGATCCTAAACCTGCTGATAGTTTATTATTAGTTCCCACACTGATTCATTTCAGCCACAGCACGAAGCTTGACCACAGCAGCCAGGCTGCAATACCCCAGCAATATCCCAGCAGAGGAAAACTCCAAGAAATATATTTTCAACAGCTGTCAAGGGTCCAGCTTTGGTAGGGTGAAAAATGCCTGCCCTCGGTAGGTATTTTAGTGTCCAAAGTGCCCATCTACCTTAAACATCTCCCTCCCAGGGCTGCACGGCTGGAACCTGGGCTGGCTGGTCCCACGGAGCCTCCCTGCCCGCTCCCCGGCTGCCCTCCTGCTCAGGATGGATGACAAGTGTCCCCAGCAGGGTGCTGCCACCGCAGGTGCCACGTCTGGGCAGGTTCACCACCAGGTTCTCCACAAACCCCAGAAGAGCCACAGAAACGCAGCCAAAGGGAAGCTAAGAAGAGATTTTGGGTTTTTCCCTACTGCTGCTGGCAGCGTGGCTGATCAAAATGAAACAGAAGACCTGTGTGAAGCCACTCAATCTTCCCAAGACAAATACTAAGCTTCCTTCACCCCAGAACATTAGAATAACTGTTAAAAGACACATACTTTTAGATCAAAAACCACTTTTCATAGTTAACTCCGTGCCAGAAAACACGAACCAGATGCAGGGGGAACACAACTGGGCATCCTACATTAATACAGAATCTAGTCTCCATTCCCTGGACAGCACACAAAATCTCTCCAAAACCGTACTTGATGACTGCAGCAGAGTCGATGATTGTCATCTGCTGTGGCAATTAGAGTGGCAGATGTCCCATCATCTCACTGGAACGGCTGCTTCCTCGATTCACGCAGCAGAAGCCGGGCAGCTTAGCAATGAGAGCAAGGGGATGCCAAGCAGGGGGTTCAGGGAACATTCCCAGTGCTGCCACTCTCTTCCCAGGTGAAGCCCCCCCCCTCCTCCAGAGCTCATCTCCCACCCACGCTGGGCATTTTACAGCCAGGAGAGTTGATCTCCTCCAGAAGGGCCTCGGACGCTGCTGCATGAAAAGCCTCCTGCGTCTGGACCAGCATAACCATGGAGTTTCATCTGCTCCAGCATGTGTGGAGGCTTGGGAGGGTATTAGCCTTTATAAAACTTCTTGCTACACGGTGCTATGCGGAGCCCCTACTGAAAATACAAATAAAACAATTTTCTATCTGCTGTTGCCTTCCAGCAGACTCTCCACACGATTCCTGCAAAGTGGAAGCCGAGGGGAAGGGAGGAGAAGGGAAAGGCTGCAGCAGCTCTCTGGGAGCCATGAAGGCATTTACGTTGTAATTCACACCCATTTCCTTTCAATCTTCTTTCCGCAAGACCTCGCTTTTCACAATGTAATCCCTTAAAGAAGCTTATTTGCTGCTTAGACTTGCTAGAGAAGCCCTGAGTTGGACACCTCACCAGCCTACTGACTTGCATGGAGAACCCCCCCTTGCAGGTCCTATGTCCCCTCCCAGCAAGGGTAAAGCCTCCAAAATCCAAGCTTGCAGGTATGTAAAAACCTCAGACCTTGATTATTCCTTTCCAAATCAGGTGCTCCTCCACTGAGCCAGCTCCCTCCCCCCCCAGCCCTCCCCACCATCCATCAAACCACGTCCTGCGCTGGGAAACCAGCCCCGGTATTTCCTGCACCGGTATTTCCTGCACCACGAGGCTTTCCACCCGAGACCCTTTACTTGCCATATTTTAACAGGAACATTTTTATCCTCCTCCACTATAAACCACTGATTCACACTCCACTTTCATTTTACTTGGCTACGGAGACAAGAATTTACTCTCCAAGATGGTACAAAAATAATACTTGAGTGCTGATGCAAAATCCTTTGTCATGGTACTGGAATAAGCACCTCCAGGGTTTCCAAAGCCTCCCACTTCTTCTGGCTCCTTTTCCTTGCTTGTTTATCCAAAAATCTCCAAAATACAACCAGCCCTAGGAAACCTGATGGGCCCCAGCCTTACAAACCCTCACGAAGTTCAAAGAAGGAAAAGGCAGCTGATGCTGGTGGCGCTTCCCTAAAAACAAGTGAAATCAGGGGCAAACACGTGTCCCAGTCTCATTCCAGTAACAGACCATTGTAATGTC